CATGTCCAAGCCAATTCTCAAGGCATACTAAAAAACAGAATTGTGTGAGGATCTCTGCTTATTTTATTTTTTTCATTCACAATTCCCTGCTTGCTTGGTTTTCAAATAAACCTCATCCATTTACAGCCTTTCATATTTCCTCCTGTCACTGGTGTGGCTCACTCTAGCCCTTTCCATTCTTTGCAAGCCTTTTTCACCAAAGCCATCAGAATTGATTGGCCGCGGCCCATTTTGAGCAGGGAGAGTGTGCTGGGCTCCTTTCTGTTCATTTAGATCCTGGTATAGCCTCATATTATGGCCAGTTCTGGTGGGAAACTGAGAAGAGAGGAGGCTGCAAGCAGTGTTAGGGTGAAATCACCCCAACTTTCTTCATTGAGGCCTTATACTGCCCATTGGCTAATGTGGCCCAGAATAGATAGTGTCAGGGTTGTTTGGAGTTCTCGTCTTTTTTCCTTCTGCCTAGTCCTTGTTGCTGTGTGCCCAGCTTCAAAACACAGCAACGTGAAAAAGAACCACCTGGTTTGCACAGGATCTTAGAGTCCAGATAAGCCCTTGCTTTCCTAGGAGGCTGGAGGGTGGTCATGCATTGCATGTTTCGGAAAAAAAACATGGCTTTGGAACCTCAGAGGCTCCATGAGGTCTCTGTTGAACCCAGTTTTGACAGAGGTTCTTGATTGCCCCTGAAGGCCCTTGCAAAAAGCAAGTGAAATTAGTAGGTGTTGGTTAAATATCAATATCAACTGAGCCAAGTATTGCTTGAGTTTTTTTCTTGGAGTATGCGTTTGGTTGAACCTTGGCATCAGTAGCTATCACAGATTTTAAATACTGACGCTTTTGTGATTGTAAAGTGTTTCTCGTTAACCTCAGAAGCCATCTCCCCATAACCCAATTTCCCTATTCCTCTTTAATCTCTAGAATATCCTTTGCTTTTGTTACTTTGTTTTGTTGTTTTTGTTGATTTTTGGTACTCAGTGGGCTTTCTGCTGTGAGTCATTAAAGGTTGACATGAGAGTTAGCAATATTGGGGCTCTAGGAATTCATAGACAGCTGCCCAGTGGGCTCTATCAGAGCAGGCTGTGTCCTTGGCCTGTGCCTGCCAAGAAACATGATTTAGAGGAATAGAAGAAAGGAGTGATGGCAGCAAAGCAGTGAAGGTGGGGGGTGGGAAACCAAGGTACAACATTAGGAGATTGAGCTCTGCACCATCATCTGGGCATGGCTGGAGTGTTCAAACCTCATCTGAAGGCCAAGTTGAGTCCCGACTTCATGACTGGCCTGAATTATGGCCATTTTCCTAAAATCCTGTTAAGAGGAGCTACTTTGTTTTTTGTCTTTGCCATGTTTCTGTGTGTTGATGGCAGGGGCACCACCAGAAATTAGTAAGAGACAGTGAACAGGAGTGAGTTCCTGAAATGTTCAACTTAGCCCAGAGAGGATATGATCAGCAAGGATGAACTTAAGAGCTAGGCCAGACACTTGACAGTAGCTGCCTGGTTTGATCTCTCTATGGTGGCACAAAGAATAGTTTTCACAGTCGCCTGACAGGTGGTCCTTGTGTAGCTAGATTCTTCTGCACAGCTGGGTTAGAGAGGATCAGTGTCCCACCTTGTGCCACTCAAGAAGGGCTGTCCCAGTCCTGGAGCCAGAGTGAGTATCATCAGCAATGGGCCCCATGTGACACACATGAGGAGATGAAAGCAAAGAGTGGAAAGACAAATACCACATGTTAAGTAGGTGTTATCTTCAAATGACAGGATCACTGAATGTTTTTGTATTTTGGTTTAACTTTTTACTAAGGGTTAAAAATACTATAGCCCACTTATCCTTCAAAATAAAAATTGTTAGAAATGGAAAATATATACATACATACATACATTAGCTTATGTTTACCAGAATGCAATATTGCCTCTGAAGCAAGGTTGTTCCTTATCAAGTACAAAATCTTGTAGATGGGGTCATGGCCAGAGCAGTACCACCTGTGAATTTTGGGAGGAAATGACTTTGCAAAGGATGAAGAAGGGAGGGTGAGATGGCTCAGGTCAGATTAGAAAGGTGGAGCCCTGAGAAGCTGCAGGAAACATAGCCTGCCCTGGGTGGTGTGCCATATTTGAGACGGAATATTTCACATTGTGGTTGCCTGGAGCTACAAACCCAAAGGCCCTGATTGCTTTTCTTTTCTGCTCCTGTCATTTTCCTGCCACCCTCTTCCTTCACCCACATCATTGCATGGCCCTGAATTGTTAATGATCAACACAGCAATTTGCTAATGGTTATTTTACATCCTTCTAGGGTCTGCTCTTCAGCTGGAAGACCCTTCCATGGACGCTGCAGAGGACGAGGTACAATGGGATGTCAATGTCAGCCCACAGAATGTGTCTGAATGAAACAGTTACTTTCTTGACTTTATCTTCTTGAATTAGGATCAGAGAGTCTTATATAAGATATGAGAATTTTACCATATCAATCGTAGATAACTTACAGAATTTCCTTGGTTGGGGGAGCTTTGGGCGAGAGTATCTTCTTTACTGAGACTCGATTTAAGACAGTGGGAGAAAATGACAGAACCACGCACTGTGTGGTCACAAGGTTTTTGCCTTAGCAGGGATGCTTTCCTTTTTGGACTAAGATCACTTAGTGGCCAAGCAAAATGGTTGGAAGGAAACATCGTCCAAGAAAACCTTGCCTTTAGCATGAGTCAGTTTGCTCTGTCCTTCTTTTGGGTTTGTTTCATTGAACACTATTTTCCATTTTGATTTTCATTGTCACCAATTACAGTATAGTCAGGACACAGCATGGTCTGATGCTTATAGCAATTTATTTTCTGTCATTACAGGAAGCTGCAGGACTGCAGCAAGCTGGTAAGTATTGGGGAACTCCTGTCATGCTGATGAGTAATCCAGAAGATGAGGAATGTCGCACTGTCTTTCTGGCTTTTCTATGTTGAGCTTCTTGTTGTGAATGAGAACGTAGGCAGTGATGGGAGAAATGATTTTTGCAGATGAGAAACAACAGCCACATTCTGAAGTCCCTGGGAGCAACTGCATTCTCTGAAGATGGGGTGGAATCCTGTGCACAGGGCTGGCCCAGGTCTTTTGTGAATTCATGCAGTGCCATGATCACTGTGTCTTGGGTTGTGTGTGTTGGTTTCCATACATACAGATTCCCAGATTTACTAGGGTTCACATTCTCCACAGGGATTTTCGTCACCATTGCAGCCTTACTATAGGCACAGGAAAAAATCAACTTGTAAGCTTATGATGTGTGCAGTTGATTGCCTGCAAAGGACACTTTAATTAACCTAAAAGAAGTTATGTCAACACCCAGACCAATTCTCAAGGTGTACCAAAAACAGAACTGTGTCAGGATATCTGCTCATTTTAATTTTTTTTCATTATTAATTCCTTGCTTTACTTGGGTTTTCAAATAAACCTCACCTGTTTACAGGCCTTCGTATTGCCTTCTGGCATTGGAGTGGCTCACTCTAGTCATTTCCATGCTTCACAAGCCTTTTCTACCAAGTCCCTCAGAATCGATCATCCATGGCCCATATTGAGCAGGGAGAGTGGGCTGGAGCTCCTTTCTGTGCATTTAGACCCTGGCACAGCCTCATGCTATGGCCCGTTCTGGTGGGAAACTTGGAAGAGAGGAGCCTGCAAGCAAGTTTAGGGTGAAATCACCCCAACTTTATTTATTCAGGCATCATAATGCTGATCAGCTAACATGTCCCAGAATAAATAGTGCCAGGCCATCTAGAGTTTCTGCCTTTTCTCCCTTAGCCTAGTTGTTGTTGCTGTGTGTTCAGCTTAGAAACACAGTAACAAGAAAAGAGAACCACATGGTTTACACAGGGTCTGAGAGGCCTGGTGAGCATTTGCCTTCATAGCAGGATGGAGGGCAGTCATGCATTGCAGGTGGTGAAAACAAACACGGCTGTGGAACTACAGAGGCTGCATTAGGTCCCCATTGAACCCAATCTTGACAATGGTTCTCATTTGCCTCCCAAGGCCCTTGCAAAAAACAAGGGAAAGCAGTGGGTTTTGGTTAAATATGAATATCAACTGAGCCAAAGTACAGCTTGAGTTTTTTTCTTGGAGTATGCATCTTGTGGAAACTTATTGTATATAAATCGAATTTGATTGCTGTATAGGTGTCAGTACTTATCCCACAATTAAAAACACTGAGGCTTTTGTGATTTTAAAATGTTTCTTGTTAACCTCAGAAGCCATCTCCTCATAACCCAATTCCCTTAAGTCCTCTTTAATACCCAGAATATCCTTAGCTTTTGTTTTTTGTTGTTGTTTTGTTATTGTTATTGTTGTTGTTTTGTTTGGTACCCAGTGGGCTTTCTGCTGTGAGTGATTAAAGGTTGCGATCAGAGTTAGCAATATTGTGGATGTATAATTCATAGCTGCCCAGCGGGCTCCATGAGAGAGAGAGCAGGCTGTGGCCTTGGCCAGGGCCTGCCAAGATATATGATTTAGAGGAATAGAAGAAAGGCATGAGGGCAGCAAAGCCAGGAAGGTGGAGGGGAAGCCAAGGTGTAACACCAGGAGAGTGAGTTCTACACTGTTACCTGGGCATCTCTGGAATGTTCAAGCCTCATCTAAATGTGGACTTGAGTTCTGACTTCATGGCTGGCCTGAATGGTAGCCATTTTCCTAAGAGCTTGTTAAGAGTAGCTACTTCGTTTCTTGTCTTCTCCATGTTTCTGTGTGTTGATGGCAGCAGAACCACCAGAAATTAGTGAGAGGCAGTGAACAGGAGTGAGTTCCTGAAATGTTCAACTTAGCCCAGGGAGGACATGATCAGCAGGGATGAACTTGAGGGTTAGGCCAGACACTTGAAGGCAGTTACCCAGCTTGATTTCCCTTTGGTGGCACAATGAATAGCTTCTAGCAGTTGCCTGACAGGCGGTCCTTTTGTAGCTAGATTCTTCACAGCTCAGTTAGAGAGGATCAGCGTCACACCTTCTTCCACTCACAAAGGGCTGTCCCAGTCCTGGAGCCAGTGTATGATCAGCAATGAACCCTATTTAACACACATGAGGTGCTGAAAATAAAGAGCGGAAAGACAAATATTGCATGCTAAATAGCAGTTATCTTCAAATGATAGGATCATTGAATATTTTCATATTTTCGTTTAAGTTTTTACTAAGGGTTAATAAATATAATAGCACTGTTATCTCTTAAAATAAAAATTGTTAGAAAGGCTAAATAAATAAATACAATAGCATATGTTGGCCATAATGTAATATTTTGTCTGAATCAAGCTTGTTCCTTATCACGTAGAAAATCTTGTAGATGGGGTCATAGTTAGGGTAGCACTACTTGTCAATTGTGGGAGGAAATGACTTTGGAAGGGGTGAACAAGGGAGGGCAAGATGGCTGAGGTCTGATTAGAAAGGAGGAGCCCTGAAAAGCTGCGGGGAAACATAGCCTGTCCTGTGTGGTGTGCCATGTTTGAGATGAACTATTCCAGGTGGCCTGGAGCTACAAACCCAAAGGCCCTGATTTCCTTTGTTTTCTGTTCCTGTCCTTTTCCTGCCACCGTCCTCCTTTACTCACATTGTAGTATGCCCCTGAGTTGTTAATGAGCAACACCACCAGGTACTGACAGTCACTTTGCATCCTTCTAGGGCCTGCTCTTCAACAGGAGGACCCTTCCGTGGATGCTGCAGAGGACAAGGTACATTGAAATATGAATGTCAGGCCACAGGATGTGTCTGAGTTAAACAATTGCTTTCTTGACTTTATTTTCTTGATTTTGCATCAGAAAATGTTATATAAGATATGAGAATTTTCCCATATAAATTGTAGATGACTTACAGATTTTTCTTGGTTGGGGGAGTTTTGAACAAGAGTCTCTTCTTAAGTGAGACTCAATTCAAGACAGTGGGAGAAAATGACAGCATCAACCACACATTCTGATCACAAGTTTTTTGCCTTAGCAGGTTTGTTTTCTTTTGGGGACTAAAATCACTTAATGGCCAAGTAACATGGTTGGAAGGAAACATCGTCCAAGAAAACCTTGCCTTTAGCATTAGTCAGTGTGTCCTGTTCCTCCTTTGGGTTTCTTTGATGGAACACTAGTTTCCATCTTGTTTTTTAATGTCACCAAGTGCAGGAAAGTCAGGGCACAGCATGGTCTGATGTTCACAGCAACTTATTTTCTGTAATTACAGGAAGCTGCAGGACTGCAGCAAGCTGGTAAGTATTGTATCAATGTGCTGGGATTACAGTCATTAGCCACGGTATCCTGCCTTCTGTGTTTGTGTGTTTTAATTTTATTTTAACTTCTGAGATACATGTGTGGAAAGCGCTGGTTTATTACATAAGTATAAATGTATCATGGTGGTTTATTGCACCTATCAACCCATCATTGAGGTTTTAAGCCTCACATGCACTAGGTATTTGTACTAATGATGTTTTCCCTCTTGCCTTCATTCCCAGGGATTACTTTTTTGCTAAGGAAATACCTTAGTTTTTCAGAACGATTATACTTTTTACCCTGCTTTTGTTAGAGAATTTCTGGTTGAACCTTCCTAACAGAAAAGAGGTTTTAGGCAGTTTTGTATAAAAATCAATAAGAGTTTGGTAAGGAATTGTACTGTCTTTCTGTAGTGTTTTCATGAACTTGTGTTGCTTACATGAAAGTGGGTGATGTGCATCAGGTTTGGTAGGTATGGAGGAGAGAGTCTATGTGCAATGATTGTGAATGTCCTTGGGAATTTTTATGCATGTTCAAAGTACAACACAAGTATTAATTTTTTAAAAAGTTGATGTATGCACACTTTACATATATCATCCCATTCATTCTCCAACACAGCTGTAGCTTAAGGTAAGTTTGATATATCCACTCCTCAGATACAGTTTGTACAAAGATAGATTACCCAAACTCATGGCAGCCTCAATAGAGGAGGGAAGTGCAAAATCAGGAATGAGTGGAAGGTTGATGGCCTACTATACTGCATTCATCACACAGCCCTTGTATAACTTATTACCCTAGCAGTGACTTTGAAAACCTAGGTGTGCATGTGGAAGTACAATAGCCTATAGAAATTCTAAGCAGTCTCTATCACTATGGGATGGTCTTTTTTTTTTTCTTTTTCTGAAATTTTATTAAATATTAATGCCTAAAACTGTCCATTATTTTTCTGCACTTTCATATAATTTCATTTACTTTTTCAAGAATTTGATGTTTTTTTATGGTTGATTAATATTCCATGGATATTTCTTTTTTCCCCCCCATTTATTTATTTTATTGCATTTTAGGTTTTGGGGTACACGTGAAGAACATGCAAAATCGTTGCATAGGTACACACGTGGCAGTGTGATTTGCTGCCTTCCTCCCCATCACCTACATCTGGCATTTCTCCCCTTGCTATCTCTCCTCACCCCGCACCGTCCCTCCCCTATTTCCCTCCAACTGACCCCAGTGTGTAGTGCTCCCCTCCCTGTGTCCATGTGTTCTCATTGTTCAACACCCGCCTATGAGTGAGATCATGTGGTGTTTGATCTTCTGCTCTTCTGTCAGTTTG